TATTCTACTAACCATGACAACTCACAATTATTGAAGAGGTATACTGTGCAAGCATTTATTTCTGGTCAAGTACGCTGCATAAATGGACCCTCCTTGTAAGTTCTTGGAAACACAAATTATAAAAAGTTACAGAATACACACCTTTTTGTGAAATTAACATTATTCTACTAACCATGACAACTCACAATTATTGAAGAGGTATACTGTGCAAGCATTTATTTCTGGTCAAGTACGCTGCATAAATGGACCCTCCTTGTAAGTTCTTGGAAACACAAATTATAAAAAGTTACAGAATACACACCTTTTTGTGAAATTAACATTATTCTACTAACCATGACAACTCACAATTATTGAAGAGGTATACTGTGCAAGCATTTATTTCTGGTCAAGTACGCTGCATAAATGGACCCTCCTTGTAAGTTCTTGGAAACACAAATTATAAAAAGTTACAGAATACACACCTTTTTGTGAAATTAACATTATTCTACTAACCATGACAACTCACAATTATTGAAGAGGTATACTGTGCAAGCATTTATTTCTGGTCAAGTACGCTGCATAAATGGACCCTCCTTGTAAGTTCTTGGAAACACAAATTATAAAAAGTTACAGAATACACACCTTTTTGTGAAATTAACATTATTCTACTAACCATGACAACTCACAATTATTGAAGAGGTATACTGTGCAAGCATTTATTTCTGGTCAAGTACGCTGCATAAATGGACCCTCCTTGTAAGTTCTTGGAAACACAAATTATAAAAAGTTACAGAATACACACCTTTTTGTGAAATTAACATTATTCTACTAACCATGACAACTCACAATTATTGAAGAGGTATACTGTGCAAGCATTTATTTCTGGTCAAGTACGCTGCATAAATGGACCCTCCTTGTAAGTTCTTGGAAACACAAATTATAAAAAGTTACAGAATACACACCTTTTTGTGAAATTAACATTATTCTACTAACCATGACAACTCACAATTATTGAAGAGGTATACTGTGCAAGCATTTATTTCTGGTCAAGTACGCTGCATAAATGGACCCTCCTTGTAAGTTCTTGGAAACACAAATTATAAAAAGTTACAGAATACACACCTTTTTGTGAAATTAACATTATTCTACTAACCATGACAACTCACAATTATTGAAGAGGTATACTGTGCAAGCATTTATTTCTGGTCAAGTACGCTGCATAAATGGACCCTCCTTGTAAGTTCTTGGAAACACAAATTATAAAAAGTTACAGAATACACACCTTTTTGTGAAATTAACATTATTCTACTAACCATGACAACTCACAATTATTGAAGAGGTATACTGTGCAAGCATTTATTTCTGGTCAAGTACGCTGCATAAATGGACCCTCCTTGTAAGTTCTTGGAAACACAAATTATAAAAAGTTACAGAATACACACCTTTTTGTGAAATTAACATTATTCTACTAACCATGACAACTCACAATTATTGAAGAGGTATACTGTGCAAGCATTTATTTCTGGTCAAGTACGCTGCATAAATGGACCCTCCTTGTAAGTTCTTGGAAACACAAATTATAAAAAGTTACAGAATACACACCTTTTTGTGAAATTAACATTATTCTACTAACCATGACAACTCACAATTATTGAAGAGGTATACTGTGCAAGCATTTATTTCTGGTCAAGTACGCTGCATAAATGGACCCTCCTTGTAAGTTCTTGGAAACACAAATTATAAAAAGTTACAGAATACACACCTTTTTGTGAAATTAACATTATTCTACTAACCATGACAACTCACAATTATTGAAGAGGTATACTGTGCAAGCATTTATTTCTGGTCAAGTACGCTGCATAAATGGACCCTCCTTGTAAGTTCTTGGAAACACAAATTATAAAAAGTTACAGAATACACACCTTTTTGTGAAATTAACATTATTCTACTAACCATGACAACTCACAATTATTGAAGAGGTATACTGTGCAAGCATTTATTTCTGGTCAAGTACGCTGCATAAATGGACCCTCCTTGTAAGTTCTTGGAAACACAAATTATAAAAAGTTACAGAATACACACCTTTTTGTGAAATTAACATTATTCTACTAACCATGACAACTCACAATTATTGAAGAGGTATACTGTGCAAGCATTTATTTCTGGTCAAGTACGCTGCATAAATGGACCCTCCTTGTAAGTTCTTGGAAACACAAATTATAAAAAGTTACAGAATACACACCTTTTTGTGAAATTAACATTATTCTACTAACCATGACAACTCACAATTATTGAAGAGGTATACTGTGCAAGCATTTATTTCTGGTCAAGTACGCTGCATAAATGGACCCTCCTTGTAAGTTCTTGGAAACACAAATTATAAAAAGTTACAGAATACACACCTTTTTGTGAAATTAACATTATTCTACTAACCATGACAACTCACAATTATTGAAGAGGTATACTGTGCAAGCATTTATTTCTGGTCAAGTACGCTGCATAAATGGACCCTCCTTGTAAGTTCTTGGAAACACAAATTATAAAAAGTTACAGAATACACACCTTTTTGTGAAATTAACATTATTCTACTAACCATGACAACTCACAATTATTGAAGAGGTATACTGTGCAAGCATTTATTTCTGGTCGAGTACTCTGCATAAGTGGACTCTCCTTGCAAGTTCTTGGAAACACAAATTATAAAAAGTTAGAGAATACACACCTTTTTGTGAAATTAACATTATTCTACTAACCATGACAACACACAATTATTGAAGAGGTATACTATGCAAGCATTTATTTCTAGTCAAGTACTCTGCATAAGTGTACCCTCCTTGCAAGTTCTTGGAAACACAAATTATAAAAAGTTAGAGAATACACACCTTTTTGTGAAATTAACATTATTCTACTAACCATGACAACTCACAATTATTGAAGAGGTATATTGTGCAAGCATTTATTTCTGGTCATGTACTCTGCATAAGTGGACCCTCCTTGCAAGTTCTTGAAAACACAAATTATAAAAAGTTACAGAATACACACCTTTTTGTGAAATTAACATTATTCTACTAACCATGACAACTCACAATTATAAAAGAGGTATATTGTGCAAGCATTTATTTCTGGTCATGTACTCTGCATAAGTGGACCCTCCTTGCAAGTTCTTGAAAACACAAATTATAAAAAGTTACAAAATACACACCTTTTTGTGAAATTAACATTATTCTATTAACCATGACAACTCACAATTATTGAAGGGGTATACTGTGCATGCATTTATCTTTCGTCAAGTACTCTGAATGAGTGGACCTTCCTTGCAAGTTCTTAGAAACACAAAGATCTCATGATAACTCACAATTATTGTACTCTTTGATGTTTTTGGGAAAATTTTTGTTGCATTTTAGTCCTCCCTAGAATCTACAAATAGAAATGCTAATTCTTTTGGTTTTTTATGATAACTTTAGCTTCCACTGGTGTCACCTTGTGGTTTCATTCTAAGTAGTTAAGGTAATTAAGGTCTCGTTCCTTTTATGGATTTGACTTTTTAATTTAAATTAAAATATAACATTTTTTAAGAATTTTTAATTAAAATAAAAAATATTAGATGTGATTTTTTTTTTAAAATTTTTATATATAAAAATTTAAAATTAAAAATTTGAATCCATAAAATTAACTAGACCTACTCTAAAAAATTACATAATAAATTACATTTTTGGTAAATTACATTATTATACTAACCATGACAACTCACAATTATTGAAGACGTATACAGGTGGAAGCATTTATTTCTGGTCAAGTACTCTGCATAAGTGGACCCTCCTTGCAAGTTCTTGGAAACACAAATTATAAAAAGTTACAAAATACACACCTTTTTGTGAAATTAACATTATTCTACTAACCATCACAACTCACAATTATTGAAGAGGTATATTGTGCAAGCATTTATTTCTGGCCAAGTACTCTGCATAAGTGGACCCTCCTTCCAAGTTCTTATAAACACAAATTATAAAAAGTTACAGAATACACACCTTTTTGTGAAATTAACATTATTCTACTAACCATGACAACTCACAATTATTGAAGAGGTATATTGTGCAAGCATTTATTTTTGGTCAAGTGGACCCTCTTTGCAAGTTCTTGGAAACACAAATTATAAAAAGTTACAGAATACACACATTTTTGTGAAATTAACATTATTCTACTAACCATGATAACTCACAATTATTGAAGAGGTATATTGTGCAAGCATTTATTTTTGGTCAAGTGGGCCCTCTTTGCAAGTTCTTGGAAACACAAATTATAAAAAGTTAGAGAATACACACCTTTTTGCGAAATTAACATTATTCTACTAACCATGATAACTCACAATTATTGAAGAGGTATATTGTGCAAGCATTTATTTTTGGTCAAGTGGGCCCTCTTTGCAAGTTCTTGGAAACACAAATTATAAAAAGTTAGAGAATACACACCTTTTTGCGAAATTAACATTATTCTACTAACCATGATAACTCACAATTATTGAAGAGGTATACTGTGCAAGCATTTATTTCTGGTCAAGTACGCTGCATAAATGGACCCTCCTTGTAAGTTCTTGGAAACACAAATTATAAAAAGTTACAGAATACACACCTTTTTGTGAAATTAACATTATTCTACTAACCATGACAACTCACAATTATTGAAGAGGTATACTGTGCAAGCATTTATTTCTGGCCAAGTACTCTGCATAAGTGGACCCTCCTTCCAAGTTCTTGTAAACACAAATTATAAAAAGTTGAAAAATAGGTGAGGAAAAACAGAGATATTTCTTTGAACAAAAGTCCTTGCGAAAGTGTTTGTTATTCTCCACTAGAGTGTTTATTTCAGATCCTTCGGAAGAAGATTAAACTTTCATCATTCAAAGGAGCTATATTAAAGAGAAGCACAAAAAAATATTATGGTCTTGAAATTTAATGATATTATAAAAGCAATTGTACTCTGTACAACTTGCAAACACTGTTGTTGTCATATTGTAAGGAAATTACAGAATTGCCGACTAGCATGTGTTGTTTAATCAACCTACGTCATCTCGTGATCGAAGGAACGAGATTGAAAGAGATGCCGCCACAGATGTGCAAGTTGAAAAATCGACAGATGTTAAGTTATTTTGTCTTGGGTGAAAATGGTGGTTCTCGGATCAAAGAGCTGGGAGAACTACAGTCTTTGTGTGGAAGTCTTTGTATTTTAGGCCTTGAAAACGTGGTGGATGTTGGGGACGTGATACAGGCTGATTTGAAGAACAAAGAGCAGCTTACTGAGCTTATTTTAGAATGGAAGTATGGAGAGACTGATGATTCAACAAAAGAAAGACAAGTACTTGATGCGTTGAAACCGCATGGAAAGCTGAAGAAACTCAAAATCAGAGGTTACTGGGGTACAATATTCCCAGATTGGGTAGCACATAAATCGTTTAGTGACTTCGTTGAAGTCTCTCTGATTCATTGTGAACGTTGTTGCTTGTTGCCCTCATTTGGGCAATTACCTTCCCTCAGAAAGCTTGAGATTGAGTATATGAATGGGTTGGAAAGTATAGGAGATGAATTTTGTGGTACTTCCTTGACCAAGCCATTTCCATCCTTGGAAAGCTTAAGAATCAGTCACATGGATTTGTTGGAGAATTGGTCATTTGCTGGAGTTGAGCAAAGAGGAGAACTTTTCCCTCGTCTACGGGAAATCTATTTACGTGACTGTAAGAAACTAAAACTAAAAGTAGAGATTAATTCCGCATATCCCTCTCTTGAGCGTATAAAATTAGACTCCTGTCCAAGATTAGAGTCATTTTCAGGAATGGGCTTGCCCTCTAATTTAAAGGGACTTGATATCCATAAGTGCCCAATGCTCATTGCAGACCGTATGAATTGGGATTTGCAAAGACTCTCCTCTCTTCAAAGATTAGCGCTCCGTGGATGTGAATTTGAAGAAGCGGTGGATTCATTTCCAGAGGAAGGGCTGCTTCCATCCACTTTGACTTCTCTTTGGATCTGGTCCTTCAGAAACCTTAAAGCCCTACACGGAAAAGGCTTTCAGCAACTCATCTCCCTTCAACATTTGGAAATTTATTACTTCGAAGAATTAGAGAGCTTGCCAGAAGAAGGGCTTCCCCTTTCTCTTAATTATTTATTCATCTCGATCTGTCCTCTGTTAAAAGAGCGGTGCCAGAGAGGAACAGGGGAGGATTGGCCCAAGATTCAACACATCCCCAACATTATGCATTTCGTTCCCTCCCCATCGTCAGTGTGCTCCAATCATCTCTTCAGGTATTATAAATATGAATTTCGTTCTACTTTAGTTAATAACAATTGATAAATTTATTTCTTTTTCTTCTATATATATTTCCCTGCTACTTTAGCGTTCTTCTCCTTTTGGTATCAAGTTAGACACTTGTTTTTTTTTTTTTTTTCGCTTTGCTTTTCATATTTGTGTGTGAATTTTCTTAGAGTTAGTTTGCGGAGGTTAATTGATAATTTTCATGGCAAAATATTATGTTGTTATGTTCCTGTATGGTTCTTTAATTTTTAATAAATTATCAACAAGCAGACTTTATGTTAGTTTGCCTCTGCTGTGGCAATTGTTTTTTTTTTTCTCCTTTTAAATTATATTAGGAAAGAAGTTATCTTTCCATTGTGAATTTTGTTCCATTTTACTTAATAAGTGTTGATTAATTTGCTTTGTTGGTACTCGGATCTTGTATTTTTGGTATATTTTACTAGTGTTGTGTATGATGAAATTTTGATTTGAATTGAATTGCTGTCCATTATGTTGCTCCATTCAAAATTCTTTTTTGTATGACACATTCACATTATCTTATAAAAGATTTATACCATTTTCTTACACAGATGATAAAAAATTAGAATTTCCAATAATTCATAGAAAACCATTCCTTTCTCCAGTGAAGGGTCCAATCGAACCCACCTGTGCTCGAATCCAAACCCCGTCCAGATGTTTCATCCTTTCCCAGTGGCAAAGCAAAGAAAGAATCCCCATTTCCAGTACTTGTAAAGAACGATTCCAGGGAAAGTCTTTATAACTCGACCAGGATCTTATGCAGACTGACTTTTATTTTGCATCTAGTCATGAACCGCTATTGCAACTACTGAACAGATTTTGGAACGAGTGATTATCCGCTGCATTTTCTCGCGAATGGCATTGAAATATTAGAGCGGAACTAGCTTTCTAAGTGTACTACTTTCTTTTTATTTTGTCATCAACAGTCTAATACAAGAATCATAGAGGAATTCGTTGTAATGACTGAGAAAATTCCAGACTTTAAATAATACAATTTATTTATTTAAGCCAAGGATTTTCTTAGAAAATATTATGTGACTGAAGGATTTATGGAATCAATATATGTATTCCTAAATTCTGTAGCAGATTTCATGTTAAGTTCATGTTTTCGATCAAGTAAATTCGATCGATAAATTCTTACC